CTATTCCGTGCGGCCGGCCTGGCGTAGTTTGATTATGTTTTAGTGGGGGTTTTTGTATGGGTGTGTTTTTAGAACAGGCCCATTATTTAATTTGATTTTAGAACTGCCTATATTTATCATGGTTTTTATTATCGCCTGTTCACCGCCCTGAGTCCCATAAGGGAGATAGGGCGGTATATAAATTCAATAAATAAATAAATAAATAAAATGTAATTTTAAAGGCTCGACCCGGTTTTTAAAATCAGTTCATATAGTTTAGTTATATTTTATTTACATACTCTACCCAGAATTTCTTGACTAAATGCCTGGCTAAAATTGTTAAATGACTAGATTTTTCATTCCAGGGCCTAGTGACTTTTTCAAGAGTCCATATTCGCCTGTATGATTCCTTTGAAACTTGCCTGACATTATCTAAGTGGCAAACACAACAGAAAGTCTAGCTTCACTTATGTTGTTTAAATACACTGTAATTGTTTTCATAGAATTACCTGTTAAGGTTTATCAGTGTGACTCTTGAAACAGTGACACCTGTAGGCTCATGCTGAAGCCTGAAAAAGGTTTGAGTATTTTAATGCATAGCAGAGAACGTCTCTGCTTGTGTGAGGGCAAAGCATTGTGTAAAGCATTTTCTGAAAACTCCACTGTTGAATGCTGCTAAAATCAGTGGACGTTCAACCATAATGTTAATGAACAAAGGGGAGGAATCAGTCAGACCTCCTCACTTATTCTTAATCCTCCAAAGTTTTTAATTAATCTTTAAAAATGGTTACATAACAAGTGAAGAAAATCTTAGGGGAGGAAATTCATGTTTTGTGTCTCTTTCTTTAAAATAAAAAGTTCAGGCAGTACAGACAGTGAAGAGAGTACAGATTCTGAAGAAGAGGATGGAACAAAGCAAGACCTGTTTGAATCAAGCACCAATACAGAAGACAAGATGGAAGTAGATTTGAATGAAAGTAAGTAGCTTTTATCGCACAGTTTCTCATGCATTCAGATACAAGTGTAGGAATTGGACGGTCCTTAACTGGCATTTTTTCATTTGTTAAAAAAAAGTGGAAGCCTTTGGCCTTCTTAATTTTTTTCATTATTTGTACTTTGAAAAATATTTAATAGTGTTATAATTAATGCAGTGTCTGCACTTGGTTCATCTGATTGGTAGTAAACCTCAAGTTAACTCCATAAAAATAAAAGGGAAGTATTTTACATTGCTTCTATTTACGGTTGTTACTGCCTCAGTTGGACCAAGATGGACCAAGCTCTGAACATTTAATATATCACAATGCAAGGACAATGTATGGATGTATAGAGGGATTAGGAACATGTGCACCACTCCTTCCTCTCTTGGTATTTTTGGCTTGTAGTAGTGGGTGGTTGTGTGTAGTGAAAGACAATCTGTAGACATTTTCTATTACAAATGAACATGCATAAAATGTAAAGGGATATATGGAGGTGTGCATATTCTAAAATGACAATTTTTGAGGAGTTGCTTAAATATGATAATGGTAGACTGAATAGTTGTAAATGGTTCTAATTTTTCTCAATATTCATAAAAGTAATACAGTTGGCAAATTCTTCCTCTGACTTTTTAAAAACTTAAACAAGCTGCCTTGCTATAGACTTAGTATTAGGAACTGATATATTTCTAACGTTATAATTTTTTCAGCACCTAACTGGTCAGCTAACTTTGATGTTCCTATGGAAACCACACATGGCACTAATCTGGATTCTGTTGGGTCTGATGTGTGGAGCACAGAGGAACCAATGCCAGCAAAAGAAACTGGTTGGGCTTCCTTTTCAGATTTCACCGTAAGGTAGGAAAGTTTTGTGTTTCTGCAAAACCTACAAATGAAATTAAAGAAAAACAAAAAAATATATGTTTTGTTTTCACATATTTTATATTTGAAATGATTAGCTCGTTAGTTTGCTTTAGCACCTTGTAAAATGCATCTGTAGTAATAGATTCACATGTTTAGGTGAAAAATATTGCAGAAAAAAAATGGTTGGCGTCATTTGAGTTGCAATTCAGTTTTTTGTGACTCATCTGGAAATCACATTGCAGAAGTTCATCAGTAAAATGCAGCAAAATGCAGAATTGTAGTATCAATTTTTCCTACAAAAACTATTCTACTGAGAAAATCTCAGTCTCTAAAAATAAAAACCTCACTGACCCATTTACTTTGTTGCAAATTCATTTTTTTATAGGAAATCTTGGTTAGTAGGATAAAAGAAGCAGCACTAACATTTTCTTCCCTGGCACTTCAAGAAGTGCTTCTATCTTCATTTTCTTTCTATCCTCTTCTCCCAACCATTATCCTCCTTTTTTGTGTCTCATTCTGTTGAACATTATATTTTTGTTTTCTGGATTTAAAAAGTAATCTATAGCTGAACAGCCATCTGTTTTTCTTTCATGTCCTAATCAAAGGTGAGAGTTCAAAGAAAAGATAGTTTAGCTTTCAGGATTTATGCAAACTTCTATAAGGTCCAAATGCTAATTGATATTTAGATTACCTTTATTTGCTGCTCAATTACCCATGAGCGCAAGTATGCTCTAGAATCCTGTTCCAAATAGTTAGCATTATCATACAGAAGTGACCAACTGAAGTCTATCCTGTGTACTCCTGGCAGAAAATAATTGAAAATGTGATTCATCAATTTATTTTACTTTGTTTTTAAAGTTCAAAAGATTCTTTGAGAAGTAATTCACCTGTGGAGATGGAAACCAACACTGAACCAGTGGATCCTCTGAATGCAAATGTAGCTGCCCTTGTGACCCAGCCAGAAAGTAAGAACTCAGAATTATTTTGATTAATAATGTGTGGTCAGCATATTCCACTGATAAGAGAATGCCATTTTACAGGACGTTGGAATTGGTCCTTCTCTGGAGTTGTGTCTGCTATACTCCTAAACCTGCCCTCTCTTATGAAACCCTGGCTCCATCAGCACAGCCTGGGCAGAGATGATTTTTGGCCCCAGTTTGGTAGAAAGTGAGAAGGAAATATTAGAGAATTTGACAATGATTTACCAGGGTTTATAGTTTCCGCAACTGTTTTGTTTCTCTGATGTGGGTTCTGAACATTTTCATTATTATCGTTGTTGGGTTTTTGTTGATGCTTTAAATGGAATTCATTATTTTTTAATTTTTATTCATTATTTATGCTTCCCATCTCCCCCTTCTTACTTGTCATCCAGAGTTGCTTCTGTGACAATAAGCTCTCAATAACAGTTTACCAATTGGTTAAATATATAAAAGTTTATTCCACTTATTGCTGACAATTCTATACAGCTCAGCACAGAACAGAAGAATAATGCAGATATTAAAATATAAAAAGTAATTGTCCACTTTCATTGTTCAAATTCCTTTTTCAGATGTAGGAAGTATTGCAATGGAAGCTGGTTCTGATGGAGAAGATGATACGGAAAACGCAGATAAAGTGACTGAAACAGTAATGAATGGCAGCATGAAGGAGACTCTTAGCCTTACTGTAGATGCTAAAACTGAAACTGCTGTCTTCAAAAGGTGAGGCATTAAACTTTGCTGCACTGTATGTTTAAGGAATTTTCATTAATCATATTAAAAAGTGGCCTAGTGTTGCATTCTCAAACCATTTAAAACATAACCATTTGGCCAAGCTTTCTGTGAAATTGGAATTTAAATATGGTTTTATTTTGATTGCTAAAGTTCAATCAAATGAGGTATTTTCACTGAGTACCATTGATCAAATTTTTAATTTTAACTTGATAGTTGCTATTTTTTTTGATGTACTAGCCTCTGAAGTCTTTTCTGTACTTTCTCTCCCTCTTGTTATTTTTAAAAATAATTTTCTAATCTAGTTTTGAATGAATTATTGGAAATAATTGACGTCATGGGGATGATGCAATAGCCACAGCAACAAGGCCCTTTTTTCCTCAGCTTGTACTTTATATAGGATAGGATAGAATAGAATAGAATAGAATAATAACTTTATTGTCACTTTGAATGTACACTAATCAGCATTAAAATGAAATTTTGTTGCATACAGCTTTGAGATAGTTTTATAAATTTAGCAAGTTTCATGTGCTCTTCAGTTCACCTTTTTAGTCAAAGTTCTGACCTGAATATTAGCATGCTCTTTTTTTGGTCCATGTCTTGTTATTATTTATATGCCATCTAATTTACAACTCTGGGTGGTTCACAAGTGAAAATGTTCAAAACAAGGAAAACACGAAAACTAGAAAATGGCAAAAATGACAAAAATAGTCTGGAATGAAAAAGAAGTGAATACACACAATCCAAAGAAACCACCCTTGTAGGTTTCCTTCAGTACACTAAGGAAACAGTGTTACCCCAAAGGCTGAGAAAATATATAACCTCCACCCACTTTTATTTCTTTATTTATTAAATTTATTTGCCACACATCCTGTTTCAAAGTGATCTGGGCAATTGTAGTTATGCCTAGTTATGCTTGGTCCCTAACTGATCGTTATTATTGTAGCATGAAAGGACATGGATTGTTCTCTAACATTCCACTTTCTACCTCCATCTGTGCTATGAATGGCATCACTACATTGCACATAACGTAGTGGCCGTACATCAGTCTTGCATCTATATGGGTAAGAGGGAGGATTGTTGACTGCTAGGGAAGGCTGGTTGTAGAGGATGGAATCTCTCCTTCTAGAATCTGCTGTTTGTTTACAGAAATAATTTTTTATAACAATAGAGCAGATCTAGTCAAGATGGAAAAGCGTGATTAGTACACATTAGCTCCTTCATTGGAGGGAGATTGGAGGATTTAACATGAATGTTGGAAACTTAACTTTGGTGCCAGTTTTTTAATGTTTAGGTTTTAATTGATATATGTCTTATGTTTTAATTGTTAGCTACCCAGAGTTTGATGTAAGATGGATGGCTAGATAAATATTATAAATAAATAAATAAAATCTATCTATCTATCTATCTATCTATCTATCTATCTATCTATCTATCTATCTATCTATCTATCTATCTATCTATCTATCTATCTATCTACTCTCTCTCTCTCTCTCTTTCTCTTTCTCTTTCTCTCTCCTTCTTTCCTTCCTTCCTTTCTTCCTTCCCCGCCCATCTCCCCTTACAAGGCTTACAAATTATGAAACATATGAAAAATAGTTAAAAAATTAAAACAAACCAACATTAAAATATTATTAAAAACTGCACTAAAGCCACACCTACAAGAGCCAAGATATGGATGGGACACGGTTGAGATCTTACTCCATCAGCCGCCTTCAGCAGTGAGTCCCCCCCCTCCGGGCCCCAGGTCAAGCGGCAGAGCCAGATTTTGATACCCTTCCAGAAGGCCAAAAGGGAGGGGCTAGTTCCCACTTCTGGTAGTGGATTGTTCCACAGAGATGGAGCCAGTTTCCTTAGCAGACAGGATCCATAGCAGGCCCCTTCCACAGACACGACTGGGGCAGGCTTGTCCCATTGGGGAGAGACCGCTCCTCAGATACCCTGGACCCATGCCATGTAGGACTTTAATTGAATCAGAAGCAAGCTGTCAGCCGATGCAGCTCATGCAGATTTGAAGTAATGTAGCAAAAACGTCTTACTTTAAATTATTTAACAATGATAATGAAATATAGTAAATGGTATAGTATAGTATATAGTATATCTGAAATATAGAAAATCTGGGACAGGGTAATCAGAAATGCACATTTAAATAGAATTAAGTTCAATTAAGTTTGATACTCAAAATGTATTTCTGGGCTTAGAATTATTTAATTATAAGTAAATAACTCCATGACAAGATTTGTTTTTACATTCTTGGGGCCTTTTGTTGTTTGTTTGTTTGTTTTTGCTATAAGGTCTGCTTAAAAAACAAAGTACGTCCTACAGGGGAATTTTACAGGGACAGTATGTTAAAACAGAAAATAACCAGGCTAATAACTAATATGTATATATTAGGTATGAGAATGCAACAGAGGGTAGGATAGTACTTTTATGCAGGTTAAACAGCCAAGTTGTGAAACTGAGTCAGCTTAGATGAGGTGCAATGAAACTTGAATGCTACAGCATTTGTAACTCAGCTCCCCTTTGGTTTGTTAATTAGGGTGTTTGCAACTTTATTAAACTGTGAGCTCTCAATGATTACTTGGAAGTCCGGCAGAGAGAATAAGTGTTCTCTCAAGAGGCTGGCATTTCGGCTGCTACATATTTTTTCTGATTGCCAGCATACTGGAGGGTCAAATATTAGGCGAGGACCTGATTCTTTCTGTTTGTTCTAGTCTGAAGGTGAGGAGCCTGGCTCTATAACTTCGTGCTCATGGTTGTGTTGCAGTCTCACAGGATCTTTAGTTTCAGCCTCCATTTCTATATCTGGATTTGATCCCCTCTGTTTTGAATATCAAAATTTACATACAGAAGCAGCTAATGCCAAATATTATTGAGGATGTTCTAATTTTTACAAAGAGAATCTGTTGCAAAATTATCAAGAAACTGATTTTTCTTTTTGTACTGGTACAGAAGTAAAAGGATTTTATTTTCAGAGTGAGTAGGTGCAGAAGGTGATCATTCCAGCTCTTAGATCAAGCCAGAGGTTTGAAATTTTAACTTTTCACCTGTTTTTGCAGGGAGCATATTTTTTTTCCTCCAACCACAAACAGATTGCAGCCATAAATTACAGTAAATGTTTGACATATTACAAAAAATATTTCAAATTCTAAATGTATCAGCAGGAAAGGTTTCAAAACTGCAGATAATCTTTTATTCTTTTATAATGACTAAATTATTGTTAGACCTCTGCCCTTATTTATTTATGGGACATATGCCCTCCTATCTCATACAACGACTTTAGGAGGCTCACAACAGTTCATATTTTCAGCTTTAGATACTTGCTTTTGCTGATGAAGAAAGATTGGTTTTTCTTTGAACTTTTCCTCTTCTCATGAAAACAAGGTAGCTAATATAAGAGCAATCAACCCGGTGGCTTTCTTTCTTTTCTCCTTCCTTAGAACAAAGCTTTTGGTAGAAACACTTTTTGTGTTTAAAGCATCCTAGGTTAAACCTTGCCATTGCTATATAAGACCAGAAAAAATGGCTTGAAATAATTCATTCTCCCAGTAGACTATTATACTTAATAGACTGGTTGGGATAAGGCATTTTCCTCTGTTGTTCCTTTTCTGTTCAGTTACTGTTTTGTTTTATAATTTGACTCTGCTAGTTTCATCACGCTCCAAATCTGGATGGGTGATTCTTCTTTTACATAGAAAAAAAAAAAAGCTTGCTTGCATTAGCTCTGCTACTAGACGAAGTGGAAAGAGATTCTTCTGCATTGACTAGTTTGTTCACTATGAAAATACCAGTGCTAAATCCATCATCTTTTCTTTCATTTGTATTAATTTAGGATGTCCTTTTGTTTCCTCATAAAGTAATCCAAATGCTGGATGTTTTGTGTACTTGTTTTGTGAACAATAATTGCTTAAGCAAACTTCATGTAGATTTTTCAATCCATGGATTGCTGTTGGTTTACTTTCTTCTTGTTTTTCTGAGGTGCTTTTTATTGAATAGTGCCAGATGTATATGAATTGCACCCTTCAGATACTGGAAAAGACACATATTTAAGCATCTGGTTTTCAAATGTTTCGGTTTTCTTCATTCAGGAAAGCTCAAAACAGTTTATACTCTGTCATGAAAATTGAGACTGGCTTCTGGTAACAGATTGGTTGTAAACTATTGTTGGATAATTCCCCTTCAGTCTGCAGTTAGGACCTGTGATTACTGAATATTAAGCTTGTGAAATCAATCCATAGGTGTCCAAAGAGAAGCTAGGTTTTAAAAATATGCCCCAACTGTTCTTAACAGTAGAACTTGCTAGTTTGTTTAAAGAATTTGGATAACAATACCACTAGTATTTTTGTTGCATCCTAGATAGACTTGATCCAAACATTCTTTTTTTGTGGGAAAATCTTGATAGTCTTTTTTATATTACTTTTCTGTTTTTTCCACCCTTCCCCTTCACTGTGGCTTCAGAGTGTTGAAATCCTATCGGTATGTACTGTAAAGGATCATTCATGTGTTTTTTGTTTTTTGTTTTTTCATTTTGGGCACCATTTACATTCTTTATTCCTCTTTTTTTACTACACCGTCCTGCATTTTTTTCTTGTCCAATTCCTTTTTAATAAACATAAACTGATGGGAGTGATGAATGTCAACAGAAACAACAATCTTGTGCTTGTTTTCCATGTTTCAATCATATTTCTAAAATCTGTTTGCATGTGACCTCTGGATCCCTTCCCCCAAGTCTTTCATTATTGCATGGTAATACAAACATTTAAAGCACAAACGAAGCTGTAATTTTATTTATTTATTAGTGAGGAAGGAAAACTGTCTACCTCGCAAGATGCTTCTTGTAAATATGTGGTGGAAGAGAATGCAGATGCTGGAGAAGAAAGTCCTGCAGCTCCGCAACCCACTTGCAGCAGCCTGGAGCAGAGGTACCTGTTGTTACCAAGTCATTTTTATATTGTGATGTGTGTATGTATATGCAATGTTTATAATCTGCCTTATAACCTGCTCCTAGAATGCCTTACATATGGGCTCTGTATAGGTTCTGCTTTCACCCTTATAAACCTTTGAAAAAAAAGTGGTGGAGGAAAAAAAAGAAAACATGGGTGCATGTAGTCATGAGGTAGAGACCCAGCTCTATAGATCTTCCTTTCAAAGAAAGATATTTTATGGAAAACCATACAGATAAATGAAAATATGAATAGGTATGGCAACCTGCTCTCAACTATATTGGAGACTCCTGGAATTATTGGATATTCTACATCCTATAGGACAGGGGTCCCCAACCCCCAGGCTGTGGACTGGTACCGGTTTGTGGCCTCTTAGGAAATCAGGCCATGCAAGCAACAGGTAAGCAGGCAAAGCTTAATCTGCTCATGCGCAGGATCTAGGTTGTGTGCAAAACCAACACACACACACACACACACACACACACACACACACACACACGGTCCGTGGAAGACAGTTTTTCTTCCGAAACTGGTCCCTGATGCCAGAATGGTTGGGGACTGCTGCTGTAGGATTCTAGCACTCAGCAGAGTTTGAGAAGTTGCTATGTTTTACCATCTTCTTATCTGCGTGCTTGTCCACATATGACAGAAAGCTGCAAAGAGACCTCTGGGCATATTGGAGAATATTATCTCCTTACAGGACGAGAACTCTGAATTAGCCTTCATAGATTTTCTGCCCAACGTATTAACAGTTTGCAACAGCCTCTTGAGTCTGGGATGTAATAAAAGAGGCTGCTCTGGCAGTTGTAAGTTTGCTACTGATATACTCGTTATGTACTCGTATTGTTTTTCTAATTTTTAACAGAGAAATGATATGTATTGCTACATTGCTTTTATTTATGTCTGATGTTAAGTATGTATCTTGGAGGTGGGCGAAAGCAGCTTAGCTAATGTCTTCTGGGAAGAATAGGAAATGCACAGATCAGGCAACGCTTTTTTCTTCTCCACTCCTGTGTAATAAGCTAAGAGCATAGCTTACAATGATAAGCAATAAGTATGTTCACTTTTTTTATTCTAGCAATTAGAAATGCAACATGTGTTAAATATTGGTTGTACTTTAGGAACATTGAAAAATACTCGACTATTATAGCTTTCTCATCCCCATAATTAATTATAGTTTCTGTTTAATAAAGAATTATAGTGAATTTCACTGATTTTTTTTTTGTTTGTAAATTGCTAGTGCTTTAGAAAAGCATTTCTTCAGATATATAAAAGCTTACAGAGGTTTGTAAATGTTAACTTTCTCTGTACTGATATTAGGATTTCTTTAATATTCAACTATCCTTTTATATATTTGGTGAATTTATAGTTAGAATTAGTAACCAGCTTTGTGATCTGAATTGAGAATGAAAAATATCTAGGGTCCTTAATGTTGCTGAGTTAGGGGTATATATATATACCTGGAGAAAACAGTGCTCCATTCAAGTTGGTTGCATTCCAGATCAAAATTCAAACCAGTGTGATTCATATTGTGACAAAACAAAAACTTGAATCTAGAAAACAGTCTCTTCATCTCATTCCAAGAGTGGTTGAATTGGGGATCCAGTCTAATTATTAATCGGCCATCCAACTTGCAGAAATGGGCTCAATTTTTTTTAATATTAAAACTGAAAAAAACCCATATGAAACAATTCCTATGTGATACAGGTAAACTTCAGGAAAATATAAACATCTAATTAACATCTCCAAGAATATATCTAATTGCTCCTTACTAAAATAAAAAATATAAATAATTTTACTGCATCTCCAACAATATAAATGCAGTGAGGTCAATTTTTTAAAGAGGATTGGTAGCAACCAATTTCTGAATTCTGTTTTGGCAAAAATGGATCAGGTAAAAATGCTGATATTCTATGGGAATGATAAGCAATCTATAGGGCCAAATTTGAAACCTAAGCTTCATGTAATGATCTCCAGTGTGTCCTAGAAGTCAGGGAAAATTCACAAGGCAAATCTTCATTGTAATGTAAATTCTTTAATTTACTTTGCAAATATATCAGTGCCATAAAGTCTATTCTATATTTTAAAAAATCCAAAACTATTTAATTAACTGTGTTTTTCAGTGTTTAGAATCATTGTGCGCTCTTCTAACAATTTGATGCTTCTTTGATCTCCTTAGGGCTGATCAACAAACCATTCTAGCAGAGGCATCTGTTAATGGCCCTGTATGATATGTGATATTGACTGATGATAACTGAAGAATATGAACTGATTTCAAGGATATGATTCCTGAGGATTTCATCTAGAACCTATTGGAGCCAGTCACTGCTGCATTTAATTTCACAAGTGATCAGGACCAGCAACATTTATATTCTAGATTTTGAGACATTGTACAGAAATTCATAAGTGTAAAAATTGCACATTGAAGAATACCAAGAAATTTTTGCGTATGTTTATATTGTATTGTTCTAAATGATGGGTGATTGTGAAATAAGAACTTGCCACCCAAGTAACATTAGTAATGATACTATAGTTAAAAATGGCTGTAAGAATAGTTTTATATAAAAAAGTGAATACACAAATCTAATGTATTTGAGGCATACTATTTGACAATTAGTGACCAAAGTATGTAGCAATTTTCATAATTTTTCACCCAAAACATTTTTAAGTCTATCTTTCTTTCATTTGGCAAAGAATTGTTCAAATGCAATGCCCTTTAAATGTTTGGTTGCTTTAGATTTAAAACAATGATTTAAAAAGAATTTTGGTGTTTGACATACTACAGCAGGCTTTCAACTGGTAATTGTTTTCTGTATTGTTTAAACCAGATCAAAATGTAAGTCTATCGGTAGAGATTTTAAGTATTTATTACTACAGCTTAGTTGACAGATTGATGTTACTGTAAAGCCATATGTTCTGTTAAGTCTTGTTTGCTTGAAACAATACCTTACAGGTGAAACACTAGAATATTTTGAAGTGCACATGGCTTGTGTATTTTTACAAGACTCACCTTTTTTTAACCCATTCACCAAGATGTACTTTAATTTAGAGCATTACAAAATTACCCATTTTGAAACAATCTTCATATTTAAAACACTGTAATCCTTTTGACAAATCAAATAAATATAACAAATGCCCATGCTGCTCTTGTAATTAAAGTTCGTGTTTTAAAGATGTAATGTCTTTAAATATCCAAATTGGGCACTTGAGCATGTTAATTGTTATATTTTCACTGTTTTGATCTGTGTGAAGATTTCATTTGTAAGTTTTAAACCAGTTTTTTTCATAACTGGGTTGTGTATATATATATAGTGATTATGGAAACTAATTGTAATTTATAATTTTCTATGTCATAAAATTCCAGCCGCCTTTTCAAACAGAAGCAATATAATGTATATTGCCACATTCTTTGGTGGAAGGGTTAAAGAACACCTCTTGCACTTTAAGGTGCAAAATCCACTTTTCTTCCTTTCAAAAGAAGTTATTCATGTATTTTTACATCATATGTTTTCCTGACCAGTATTTAAAAGCCAAAAGGATACTCTAAACAATGGCCAATGATTTATTTTAGAAAGTGTCCCAAGCTATGTGCCTAATATTACATTGCATACAGAAATAAAAACAAATGTATACTGGTACTTTTATTTTCTCATTACTTCTGGCCATCATTTTGATATTAGAATATGCATAATTGTGTGACCCACACAAAGAGGGTAAAAATAATGAAATAAAGGGAGAAGTCAAAAAGAAATTCAACTAAAGGTGATTTATATCAACAGCATTTACTGTATTTCTTTTCTTTCTACCCTTGAACACTGTCAATCTCAGCATGACAATGTGTTTATCCATACATGGTGTTTGCTCTTCAAATTTGGTAAAGATAATTTTCAGGTAGGCTCAACCTAAGGGCTGTACACATCCACATGGGCCTTTTAGCATAATCTGAACATGATTAACCATATTACAAGATGCTTTTCCAACTCAGCCTCGCCCATAGTCTACAACAGTGTTTCTCAACCGTGACAATTTTAAGGCATGTGGACTTCAACTCCCAGAATTCCACAGCCAGCATTGCTGGTTGTGGAATTCTGGGAGTTGAAAAGTGGAATTCTGGGAGTTGAAGTCCACATGCCTTAAAATTGTCAAGGTTGAGAAACACTGGTCTACAAAGTCCTGATGTCTCCAGTTCCAAACAGAAATTAGGTCCCATTATTATTTGTTTAGAATCATTCAAGGTCTGCTGCCTTAAATTCACACACTATATCACACAAGTACAAACTAATATAATTTGCCTACTAAATGTAGCATGCCTTTATCCTACCTTTAATTTTGTAAGCAGCCCAAAGAATCACTTTGAAGCAAGCGGTGGAAAACAAATTTAAGAACAGATTAACAGAGTTGGAAGGGACTTTGGAGGTCTTCTAGTCTAATGCCCTGCATAAGCAGGCGACCCTATACCGTTCTGGACAAATGGCTGTCCAGTCTCTTCCTAAAAACCTCCAGTGATGGAGCACCCACAACTTCTGGAGGCAGGCTGTTCCACTGGTTAATTGTTCTAACTCAGGAGATTTCTCCTTAGTTCTAGGTTGCTTCTCTCCTTGATTAGTTTTCCTCCATTGCTTCTTATTCTGCCTTCTGGTGCTTTGGAGAATAGGTTGACTCCCTCTTCTTTGTGGCAAACCCTCAAATATTGGAACACTGGTATGAATTTTAAATAATAAAATATATTTATTATTTATTAATAAATAATATAGCAAATTCTCAGAAATCCAGAGATCTAACTGAAGTTACATAGTCTGCATAGCATTTATTTACATATTTCAGAATGATTTGCGATTAGCATGAAATGTCTGTACAAATTAGTTAACTTGCCTATAATGATGGTTTCCAAGTGGTTATCAGTGAATTTTCATACCTTGATTTCTGCAAATGATCAAAAAGTTTGGGGAATATTCCAGAGTTAGAGATTTGGAGGAGTCTTTTGGCATTTCTTTCTATGTTCAGAATATGTCTGAACATATTCTCCATAAAACAGAAAGGGAGGAAATATGAATTCAGGGAGGGAGAATATGAACATTACAGAATATTACCAAGAAGTAACCATCATTGTTTTGTCATCCTGGCACATGGCCACAACAAGGTATCTTACCTGGCAGCAACAATGAAGGATAAAACCAAATATTAGTTGAAAATATTTCACCAAGATTACAGGCTTGTGGAATAAACCCTGAGTTGTGTAGTGTGCAACTCTAATTGTCTCATAACCAAGCCCAATAATTGTCGCTGCCCATTTTGAGAAATGCTGCATGGAAACTAGATAGCCTTAAGAGGACCTTGGTACCAAATAAATCTTAGGATATTTTAGACAATTAGAAAAGGTATGTCCAATTAGTCTTGAATCACAAAAAGGATGTTGCTGCTAAAGTTTGTCACATGCTTGAAAAACCAAAAGGTGAAATGGGTCCAAGTCAGTTGTTTCAGTGGTATTAGGAGGAATAATGGAAATCAGCCACCTTAAGGACTAAAAAAACATCCTCTAGCTGGAAAGTAATTTCCCCCTCATTGAGAAAGACATTGTAAAGGGTAACAATCATCGGTTAACTCGGACAAAAGGAACTGTGTTGGACATATGTGAAGGGTGGTGAATTTGGCAATGTAGAGTAGCATCCAGAGCCAGTACCAAAAGACCTTGAGATTTTGTAACGTATCTGTTAAGCTATGTTACAAAATCAGAAGCAGCACAATATTTAAGGAACACATGGCTATAAGCCAGACCCCAGGGGAAGGGGGGGGGCGGAATGGCAGAAATCAATGTGTTTTCCTTCCAGCCCTAGAACAGAGTCAATGGGAACATGAAATCAGAATACAAAAATAGGCATATTTTATGTCCTACCCAGTCTGATGGTGAAAGCCACCAGGAAGGGGACAGGAGGCTGGGTTAGGACAGCAGTAAATGCATCCTTGAGGCAAAAGATGGTGCCATTGGTTGAAAAGAGACTGATGTAGAGGAGTAAAGGATATTCCAATGCTGGTTCTGGTCAGGGTTGTTTTTTCTCATTTAGAACTGGCTTGTAATTATTCAACAAACGGACCTTTTAGTCACAGCCAGATAGAAATCGGATGGAAAGGAAGAAAAAATTTAAGCTAAAAAGAAAGGAATTCAATGTTTCAGACATTCCTGCTCACAGGAATGAACTATCAGAGAATGAAGTATCAGACAAACTAAAGTCCTGGTGTTATCTTGAAATCATTACGGAATTCATCACTGGGAAATTAATGGAAATTCTGTACGAACAGATTAGCATTTAAGAACTCACTATCTTGGAGAGAATTTTTTTTAATTTGGTAACTTATTCATAAGAGTTCCCCAGCTATCCTGAGATTTTTTATTATTATTATCTGAAAGCACTCCACTGTATGCTGCAGCTAGAAGAGTCATACTGACCCAACAAGATGCAACCACATCCAAAAAACCCTGAAACTCTTGGATTTCTGAGACACTAGCTTTATGGTTGTCAGATGAAGCCTTGCCCTTATGGGTATGCTGTAGTGTGAGTGGTATTCCAGCCAAAATCTTCTAGTTCTGGAAAATTCTTGACAACTTAATACTGCACAAGTCCTGAAATCCCATGTGTGCGTGCCTTTAACTCTCCAAATCAATATATTGGATCCATTTCTCTCCCTCCTCCTCTGCTTCTGAGAAGCTGTCCGGCCTTTTTTTTTTTTTTTTTTTTTTAAGGAAGACATTGATAGCCACACCTCTTCCATAGTTACATGATTCTATTTAAAATTACAAGAGTCCTAACCTCTTTTCAGAATGATCTGTGCTTGCAATTTGTAACGATAGAAATGGAAAGAAACACTAATCGTTTCAGAACTGACTTTGCTACATTTGATGGCATGATGAAGACACATTGTTTTACGATGACATGGATTTTTATACCCATCTGCCATATCTTTTAGAAGCTTTTTGAACTCAGGTACAAGTTCACAAAGGCCCACTGACTATTACTTTAATCTCCACTAGGTGTATTTGAAGTCCTGAAAGAAAGAGAGCTTTGCAATTGGTTGTTGTGATGATGGGAGGTTCAAGCAGTTGAGTATGTTTTATCAAGAAAGATATCTTACTGTGGATTTAAAGTATGCTTCCAATTTAACCAGATGAATTCTTGATCTCCATTAAAACATTTTCACCTCGTCTTTTTTCATCCTCAAAACATGTATCATTCTGTCAGACAAAACCTTATGCTGTGTTAAATGTTAAAAGGTTATTTGCTGCAAACCTTTTTTTTTTGCTCTTTAAAATAGCCAGTCAATAAATTTCAGTATGCAAAAACAATATAAATGGGAAATATTTTACCAATAAACAAGAATATTTGTAGCTCTGGGTTGAAATGAGGGGGTCATTGCTGCTCTCTGAGTTTGGTTGATTTCTTGCAGACATTTCATATTCTTGCAGACTTTCATTACTAGGTAACATCAGTACTAGTGAAGAAATTGCTTCATATTGATCAAAATATTTTGAATATCACAGAAGCATGAAATCAGTTTAAAAATTTATTACAGAAATTGTAACAACTGAAATAACATCAAATATTTCAAAAGTCCTAAAATAATTTCAGTGGTCCTTTTTTGGTGTTGTTTTATTAGCCGCTTCATCTAAATAACATTTGGTAAAAGATTAAAATGTGAAAACTTTTCACCAAAAGCAAATAAAAATACGATTTCACTGAGGATTTGATAGCACTCCTTAGTATTTGGTTTCTATGTAAGATCTTGCATCCTTGCTCTGTGAGGCTGGAACATATTTGCTCTTCATTATTATTATTTTAAACTGGAGGTTGGGTGTTTCTAGAAGTGTTTTGCTGTATAAGGGGAAAAAATAACATCTTGATTGCATTTTTAGGCCATAAAAATCGAATTCCTTAAATATATAATTATATAATATTTATTTTGAGATTAATCATTTATGTGTTAAAGTAAAAGCCATAAGACTTAAATAAATCTATAGGTTGCTTTCCTAAGGAGCATAAGGATAAAACAGAAAATATTGCATTTTGTAATATAACTCTGAAAATGGTAATGAATTGATTGGACTGTGCTGTGCTAGTGAGGAAGAGTGGCCATTACTGGAATATAAATAAGTCCTGAAAGCCCAGAAGCAATGCATAGGGAAAGAGATGGGCCAAAAGCAAAGAAGAAAAGTGGAAGAGTTTCAGTACCTGAAAATGCTGAAATAGCAGGTAAAAAAAGAAAGGTTTGGCGCCAGAAACTTTGGAAATTAAGCAAATTACAAATGAGAACAATTGTCTATAAAGACAATGGACAAATCAAAAACCAGATTTGGTAGTGAAATTTTTAAGGGGGATTAACAGGAAGAAGAAAGATGTAAAGAAGAGTTCAGAGAAGACTGTGTCAAATTTAGCATTGAAGGAAGCATGGAACTGACATTAAGATTACTAGAGCTGGTGTGATATGGATAATGCGTTAGAGTTACTAGCTTACCTTATAGTAGATGAGAAAACAAATACTGTAAAACAACATAAGCAAGTTTTGTTTTTCTTCAGAGGTATATCTAAAAGAATGTTACAATTATCAACAGGGTAAGTCAGCTGAGTTTAAGGTGGGAGGAAATCTGGTTTGTTGGAAGAATACACAAAATGTGTGAAAATGAAACGTATTAATCAAAGGTGGTAATCGCAGAGTGCAGAGAAGGCCCCTGTTAACAGGCATTACATCTGCCTTGTATGGGGCAGCACGTGCCCTTTGGAGAGCCACAGGGTCGGAAATCAGGTTGGCCCTGACCCTGCCGTGCTTTCGGAGAGCTCTTAAGACCCACTCTTTTCCTGGGCATGGGAATCAGCAGCCCAAGATGTGTCAGTTGATTGGCTATTGTCGGTGGGCTTTTTATGCTTATGTGTTTCTTTGTTTGTTTTAGTTAATAGAATAGTTTGTAATGAAGTTTTAAATTGTGTTACCTCCCAGAGTCCCTGTTGCAAGATGGGTGGCCAGCTAAATAGAAATGAATGACTGAATGATTATGGAGAGGGGATTAAGGAGACAGAAAATTCCACAGCAGATAAGGCCAGACAAAAACATTCTTTATAAAGAATAGATCAAAAGTGTCTTAAGGGAGCAAGAGGAAGAATTTGCCCAGTACTGGAGGCCTCATTACCGCTTAAAGAGCTGCAGTCTCTCTTTGTCATGTGCACTGTTAACATATTTATAAAACAAGGTATTTTTGGAGTATTTTTTGCACTGAACCTGAAACTATTTGAAACAGACTGAACTACAGCAAAGTGAAATAATAAACCAGCCCCTGCTGTGTCGGCCCCGCCCCCTGGGTGCATGCTGGGGAGATGTCATCCTTTGTGAGGAATGAAGAAATGCACCAAGCCTTGGCGCTTGCCCCGGTCCCACCACCTTCTGCCAGAGACCTTCAGATCTTTCCCACTCTTGGCCAGGCCCACACTGGCACCCTTGATACGAACGATGTAGAGCTGGCCATGCCCACCCAGTAGGCCACACCCACCCTGGCCACACCCACCTGGCCCCCCAAGGGCAACCGCAATGCTGATGCGGCCCTCAATGAAATTGAGTTTGACATCCCTGAACTAGAGCTATAAAAAATGGCATCTGGGAATCTAGTTTTCATTTACCTTCCCTAAATGATAGCCTAGTGACAAAAGTTATTTATCATGTTTGAAATTGATGTGTAATTTATTGGCTACATGGCTCTGAAGAGTTAGGAATATTTAATTTTAAACCCTACCAGAATTACTTTCTTTAGATCACCTGAACATTTAATTCAACAAAGTAGTTACATAGGTTTTAACTATAATTAAAAGTTTCCAAGAACTTTTCTTCTGGCAAGATAATTTTTAAAAGGTGGAAGGGACTTACGGTTCCGCCTCACAGCGACGCGGCTGAGGGACTGTGGGGCTCCGCATCCCATGGCTGGTTTTGCCCTGCCAGGGGACCCTAAATGGCTCTGATGTCGCCCCAGAGAGGCGGTGAAGAAAGAGGGGCACCCCAATGATCATGGAATGATGGCGGTCGATCTGTTCAATCCCAGGGAAGCCCTCTAACCCGACAGGAGAAAGGCTAGCTGCATATCAGCGTCTAGCCAGCAGCCGAAGTCCAAGAGCACAAACCAGAACAACGGTGAACAGTGTGCTTGGAACTGAGTGAGATTATCAATCTTCTCTCTTCTATTTTGTAACTGATTCCTTGGAAAAGATCCCCAAAGCAAGAAATCCTCCGAAAGTGAAGGGAGGGGATCACATCCCCACCCCTCCATAGACAGAAGCGGTGAATTAACTTCCAAGGGAGAAAGAAATATACTGAAATAAAATTAATATTATTATAGTCTGGATAAATCTGAAAATTAAGAAAACTGTTAATATTTTATATCCTAAAGAGTCCTGATTAAATTAAAAAAGAAAAAGCAAGAAAAATAATTCTTTGTTTGAAAAAGTTGGAAAATAAATATCTACTGACATCTAGTGGAGAACTAGAGCATGGAACAATAGTATAACACTGACTCAGAAATTGGCAAGATGCCCAGAAATAAAGAATCTGTTCCCTTGAACTTTAATACCCCTCAGCTAAATAGAAAACGGCTGGGAACAAAGAAAGAAAACATACCGGGCCATCCATAAGCTTAAGAAGTGTCTGCAAAAAAAACAACCTTTAACTGTTGTCTAAGCTCAAGAATTGTTTGCAGAGAAAGAAAAACTTTGACTCTTGGCTAATCTTCTAGGGGGGAGTTTACTGGAAGGCTTTAAGGTGGCAAAACATTTTGCTGCAATTCTGACTGGTTGATAATTCAAAGACCCCTGAACAGAAGAATTGTTATAAAACACTGCTTTCACTGATACCTTGATAATTGGAAACGCATTGGATTACAAAAACCATATATAAAGACAAGAACTATATGGGATTTGGTTGTTTGGATTTTAAGATTGGCTGTTTTGATAAGGCTAAACACAGACACTATGGTACTGGTGAAAGACTACCTGGAGGGAGGAGACAAAATGGATATTGTATACCTATTTAAAAGTGACAGGAAACCACATCTAATATTCCCTTCTGAAGGACAGTTGAATATAGACAAACAAATGTCTATATCCAACTTTGTATGCATTGAAAATATTAAGAATTGTATCTGTCTAAT